CTTCCTCCCACTAAAGCGAACACTCAATAACTGTGACCATAGAACCAGGAGGGGCTGGGATTTCAGCACAGCTGGGGTCCAAAGGTGGGCATCTTTGAATCCCAAGCCCTAACTGGTGCCACGCTCTGTCCTGACCCCATCACCTGTATACACACACCTCCCAGGTCCCCGAGAGAGGTGCAGAGGGCAACAAGACAGGTGGGGCGGTTCTCCAAGGCAGGGGCTTGGTGGTCTAGGCACAGAGGCGGTGCCAGGATCACTCGGGGTTGCTGTGCTGTTGCGCCCCTGAGAGCGCAGACTAAGGTTGAGTCTAAGCTCGCCAACCTCAAGCACAGTCCCTTCTGGGCTCCACCACCACACTGGCTCTCGAGAGTACTGCAGGACCACACTGATGCCATCCGTTCATTCATTGGGGAACTATGACATGCCCTCCTCCTTAGTCAGTGCCGAGGGGCAGTGATCAAGATGAACATGTTCCCTGCCCTGTAACGCATGTCTAGAAAGGAACAGGGAAAATTAGCAAGAACCAAATAATTAGCTGAGCGCAGTAGCACATGCCTGTAATCCCAACAACTCAGAAGACTGACACAGGAGGACTGCAAGTTCAAGGCCAACCTCGGCAACTTAGTGAGACCCTGTCTCAAAATAAAAAATAAAGAGCTAGGATGTAGCAATCCCTACTACTGCAAAAAAAAAAAAAAAATCAAACACTTATATAATTATAGATCATCATGAATGCAAAACATTGGGGCAATGTTTAAAAAAAAATAAAAGGAGTTGCCCCCTTTAAGCTACCTTAGAACAACTTCGTGCCTTATAACAGCTGCCATTTTAGTATCTGTCACAATTCTGCAGGCTCAGTGGGGCAGTTCTCCTGTTCCACGTGATGGTGGCTGGGGCTGCAGTCATCCGGGGGATCCCAGAGCTGGAACCCCCAAGCTGGCTCTCGCACAGGGCCAGGGCTGATGTGAGTGCCGTTGCTGGGAGCCTGCTGACCGGGACACCTAACTTTCCCCACTGTGGTCTCTCAGTGTGATGCAGGCCTCACACAGCACCTGGGTTCCAAGTGACAGAGAGTAGAAGCTGCCAGTCACCTGAAGGTCTAGTCTCAGAAGTCTCGGCACAATTTGTTGGTCAAAGCAAATGCAAGGCCCAGTCCAGTTCCAGGGGATGAGAAGTGGAGTCCAGCTCTGGATGGCATGCAGGAAGGACACGAGGGGAACCTCTCTGAAGCCCAACAGGACAGCTGCGGGGCCTCTCTGAGACGCAGCTGTTTACATGAAACTCAAGGGGTAAGGAGAACAGGCAGCAAAGCAGGGGGTGACAGACAGCAGAAGGTTTCAGGTAGAAGTAACAATAAGTGCAGCCCCAGCCACCTAGGAGCAGATCCAGACCACATGGCTATCCCGGTTAAAGGGACAAGCAAGACAGGATGAGGCAGAAGGGCTGGGGCAGGCCTTTGGGTTAGAGTCTAACAGGAAGCAACAGGTCAAGAAGCATAAGCTTCCCAGCAAGCAAGACAAAAAAGGAAACAATCGTGCATTGTATGCCTTTCACGGCAAAGTCAATGCTTTAGGTATTATAGGGAAGAAAGCATTTTTTCTTGCTTTCCGGCTCTCTGGGGAAGAAAAAAAACACACAAATAATAACTAACAACAACTCAATATGAAAAAACAGGGACGGCCAAAAGAGTGCAGCCCAGGCAGACCATGGGACGGAAGTCTTAGAATCTTGGCATCTCGGAGTCCTCACCCTTGAGAGGCAGCGCAGAGGGCAGGCAGGAGAGCAGGGCCGGCAGAGGGGAAGGCCTGTCCTGGAGCCCAGATCTGCCTTTCTCCACTGTGTGGTTCAAGCCAAGGGCAGAATCCTTGAACCTCTGTTTCCTCATCTGCGACCTGGGCTCTGTGATACCCACACAGGATTGGTGGTTGGGATGCTCACAGGAGACACAGCAAGTGGAAGCTCCCAGGGCAGCACCTGGACACAGCTGGCACGCCCAGAAAAGTGGTGATGACCCCAGCAAACCCATTCAGCTCTCCCCTCACACAGGCATACACTGACAGCAACACTGAGACAGATCAATCATCTTTCCCATTTTAAAAATTTAGAAATTGAGCCTCAGAGAGGTTATGCTATGTGCCCGAGTCACATGACAGAAATAAGTGGAGCTGGGAAAATAAGCCAGGCAGTGCACGGCCCTGAAGCTCCCATCTCCAGACCCACACTAACCCACCCTGTCACCCCTAATTCCCACCTGCTCAATCCCTGCTAGAGCACCCACCGCTGAAGGGAAGCTCCTTCCCCACAGAGCCAAGCCCCTCCCTTGCCTCCTTCCCACCTCCCGCCTCTGCCCACCGTTGTCTCGGCTTTGTCCCTGGAGTTCACAAAAGCCAGACAAAACTGTCTTCCACAGGAAGGCCCCTCACAGCCAGTGGTGTCTGCTGGAGGGACTGGCACAGTATGAACAGGGGTGAGACTCAAAGCCAGCCGTGGAGGGTGGGGAGGAGGCCGGGCCCAGGCTCCTCGAGAGTCGCTCGCTCGGCACGTGGTGAGCCCCATAAGCCTGTGAATTGAATAAAGATGAACCAAACCAAACTGAATTGGGTTGAGACTGACTGGATTGGACTGAGACAAATTGCAAGATGGACAGATGGATGGATGGATGGACAGATGGACAGACAGATGGAAAAATATAAATGGCTGATTAGATGGTAAGACGGATGGTTGCTGGGGTAAGTGAAGCAGTGGATGATGTTGGTGGGGGGGTGGGAGGAGCCTGGTAGTCATACCTGACAGGGGATTCTGGTACCTGAAAGCACAGAGGCAGGAATGCCCAGGTGTTGGGGAATAAGTCAGTGTGACAAGGGCAGAGGGCTCCCTTCGGGAGGAAGCAGGAAAGGTGACCATTCACATCTCCCCATAGGGAGATGGGTGCACACCCAGGGTGCTGCACAAGAACCGGGCTGGGTGGAAGGCGGCTGCTGGGCAGGGAGGAGTTAACAACAGGATGGCTCCCGGGCCAGCTGCGACCAGGGTGACACTGACAGATTACAGCGTGTCCTCCGCACTAATAACACTGCAGCGTCCTCCTCCCGCTGCTCCCCTCCAGCGCCAGCCCAGCGGATCAATACCAAAGGCACGCACTGAAGAGCCTCAGCCCACTCCCTCCACGGCCTGACCCAGGGTGGAAGGGACTTCAAGTTCAGCTCTGCCCAGCCCAGGTGCTCCTGAGGCCAGGGGTGGGATCCCATCCACCTTGTCACCCCTGACCCCTCCCAGGCCAGTCTAGGACAGCCCTCTCCAAAAGTTTGCCAGATGAAAGATCAGCCCCGTGGCCAATGCAGAGTCCTCACGAAAACACCTCCATGGCACATGGTCCCTCAGCAGTCTCCCGTGGCAGGAGGTCCTCAACCGCCCTGGGCAGCCAGCGCCTTCCCTGCTGGACAGCTCTGATGATCAAATCATCTTCTCTTCTCTGAGTTCATCCAATCCCTTTCCTTATTTCCCAATTTCTTCCTCTTCCCTGGCCACCCTTCTCCCGTCCCAAGCCATCTAGTAATCCAGTCTTCATCTCCCGAGGTGCTGAAGCGCTCACAGAAGAGGACCCGAGGCGCAGAGAGATTACATAACAGCCACACAGCGCAGAGCGAGGGCCTGGACCAAGCCCGTGGCTTCCACATGCCATTCCAGGCCACAGGCCATTCCAGGCCACACGCCATTCCAGGCCCCAGGCTCAGGGCACGGAGGTTCCCACATCTTCTTGGCCTCATGAGAGTCCAAAAAGGACATAAAGGGTCCTCTAAAGTCCCACCCCCAGGGGAGGCGAGGGACTTGCTCGAGGTTGCAGAACCAAGGAGCTACCTGATCTGGGGGCTCTTCCCCTCCTCCCTGCCACCCACCCAGACAGCAGCCTCCAAGAAGCACTTCCCATAGAGGAGCCCAGGGCAGTTCCAGGCCCAGGGCAACGAGAAGACAAGCCAGGGCTAGAGCCTCTTATTCCTCCAGGGAGCCAGGAGGCAGTCAGCGACTCTGCCACCAGGTCACAGGTGTCTTTCTCACCTGTGTGAGAAAGAATGGGAGGCTGTCAGAGAGCCGACTCATTTTTTGAAAACTGATTTCAAAAATGGGAGGCAGGGATGGAGGAAGATTTCATATGTGTATCAATGCAACTGCTGCATTAGCCCTAGTCCTGACAGGAGACCGCTGCACACTGTGGGCACGCGCTCACCTGGGGCACGGAAACCTCTGGGCCCCAGCCCGACCCAGCCCACGCACCTGCCTCCTAAGCCCTCCCCCACCCCGCCCTCCCCTGCAGTGTGCAGGAGTGGGTGACGGCCGCCACGAGGCTCTGACTGCACTGAAGCCTAAAGAGGGACATGCTTGCCCAGAATCCCCCATCACCACCAGGCCAGACCTCCCAGCTCCTGAGCCCACAGCCACCCTCGCAGTCCAGTCCTGGGGCCTGTGGGCGGGAACTGTCCAGGAAGTCAGCATGCAGCCCAGATGAGAACTGGTCGCTCCCAAGCCTGTGGGCACCTATGCCCTCTGAGTGTACCTCCAACCCCAAATACCCAAGTGCCCTGGCCACTCCTAAAGGGCTCTCTTCCCTGATTCACTGCATTCATTCTCTCTCTAGGCTTCAGGGTCCCCCTTTCCTCGTCTCCACTGCTCACCCTCAGCGCAGGCCTACACGCAGGCATGGGACCTCTGAAAGTCCACAGTCCACCCCCCGCCACACCTGCCTAGCCCTCCCATTTCCTTTCTGAAACTATAATTTAGTGGTAACTCTTCAAGCTTGCCTAACAATCAAGATGGAAACTCCTGCTGATGTCCCCAAACCCCAGCCTGCAACCAACATGTCCTTGTTTCTTCTTAGTATTGGGCTTGTTTCTGGATAAAACATCTCTATGAGAAAATACAAGAAATGGTAAGAGTGGTCACCCCTGGGGAGGGGGAGGGGGCTTGGGAGCCAGGAGGTGGGGGAGGTGGGACACCTTAAAGCCTTCTGGATTTTGTACCATGAACATGAAAATCTATGCAATGTTAATGACTTCACTTCAGTAGAGGAGACCATTAAAATCTGAAATAAAAGGGCCTAGGAATGCAGCTCAGGGGTAGAGCGCTTGCCCAGCATGGGGGAGGAGGCCCCGGGACCACCCCAGCACTATAAAGAAAGACCCCTCCTGACTCCACTGGCACTAATCTTCCGACCATGGACCACTTGCTTGCACCCTTTAAGCCTCAGCTCACTCATCTACAAAGTGGGGAGGTGCATCGCAGCACCTGCTTAGAAAGAGAGTTAATAGCCAATGCTCAGAAAGCATCAGCAGTCACAACGGCCACCAGCAGGGCTTGGTAAACATGAGTGACAGTCATCTCTTTGTCCACCTTCTCCATGGAACTCTGAGCCCCTGGACAGTAAGAACTATAATATTCAACTCTGGATCCCAGAACCTGGGCCAGCTCCCAGCATGATAGCTCCCTGACGTCTATGGGGTGCCAGGCACAGGCCCCAAGGCGGCCAGCACCACTGTCTTCCCAGCCCTAACCCCATCTCATCCTCAAAGGTGATGACACCCTCTGACAGCTCTGGCCTGGACACACTCCACTGGACACACACACACTTTTCGCAAACTCGTCTCATCCTTCAAGACTGCTTCTGGGCATAGGCCTCCCCCTGCTCAGGCCACATAGTACAGACTTCTGAGCATCTCATCCCAGGCTGTATTGTCAGCTACTTACTATACACACACACACACACACACACACACACACACACACACACACACCCCCTGCTCCAGAAGCTCCAGGGCACCAGGCTGCTCTGTGTTTCTGCAGGCCCAGTGCTTAGCATGGAGCAGGCACTCTGAGAACATTCCCTGGATGAAGAAATGAATGGATGTACAGACCACTCCTGACCACACAGCCACCGGCAGCCTTCAAGGATCAGATCTGGTGAGTCACTCATGCCCTGCAAATGCCATGCAGCAAAAGCAGTGACCTCCTCTCTTTGCATCTCTCTCACCAGCTCCAACCCAGAAGCTGCACCTCTCAGCCTTACGCACCCTGAGAGCCTCCTGGCTGCAGCTCGCACCCTCCCACACTGCAGCTTCAGAGGGGCTGAGCGGCCTGCAGGGAGCTCCCCACCTCCTCTCCATGTCGCAGAGGTCTGCTGAAGCCCTTGGACAGGAGCTGGCCTAGGAGTGGGGACAGAGCCCTCACAAAGAAATAGTGGCAGGAAGAGACAGTCCACCACCTACGGTCAGTGAAAGTCTACCATGCGCAGGCTACTCTGTGCTAATGCCACCACCTCTGTGTGCCTTGGTTTCCTCCTCAAAGGGCGGGGGGGGGCAGAAAGACCCATCCCATTTAATATACGAGGATGGTTCAGTAGATGGAACCGGGGATCTAAGTAAATTGCTTGCTATCCATGAAGCCCTACATCCAATGTTACTATTGTTATTATTTATTTATCTTAACACAGCACTAATGGATAACCAAAGGCCGCTTCTGCAGCCACACTGACTTGCACATAGTAGGCATTTAACTGGTATTTGATGCATTGAAATGCAGTCTTGACACCGGACATGTCTTTTCACGACTTAGGGAGCAGCACCATCTAGTGTCCAAAAGGCAGAACACCTGGACCCTCGGGTCAACAGCTCAGGGAGGTGGGTGCCCTGTCCTTTCAGGACAGATGCAAGGAAAAGTCAGTGTGACCCCACAGAACATGGAGAGACTTCTTCCTAGATGTGGTACAGGCTCAAAGTGTAGACAGGTGTAACAGAATTTGAAGCAACATTCAGATCATTTCCCTGCATAGGAGTTTGGGGCGAAATCGATCACCCAAGGAGCAGTCCAACCTCATGCTCAGTGCTCCAGTCAGACCCTGCGGGAGGGTTGCTCATCCCTCACCTAAGAAGACTTGAATGTAGCTCTGCCACTCACATACTGTGACCTTGAGTGGATTGTTGACCCTCCCAGCTCCTTTCTCATCTATTCAATGAGGTCCCTAACCTGTACCGGTGGCCCACTTCAAAGAGTTATTGTGAAGATCAAATGAGATTTTTTTTTAATTTTTTTAAAAAACCCAACTAGTTTATAAATTGTAAAGTGCTGCACAAACATGATGTATGCTGACTGTTATAACTTCCAATGATAGTGGTAACTGACCTCTGTAGAGCCTCTCACCATGCTAACTCTTTTTTGCACACAATATCATTCAATGCTCACCAAACTCTACAAAACAGGTGTTTTGAAGAAGCCCATTTTGTAGATGTGGACATTGAGGTTTACAGAAATTTGAAATTTTGCCCAATGTTTTTAGAAGGAAAGCCAGGATTTAAACTCAGGGCAATGGGGCTTTCAAAGTGGGGTTGTCAACCACAGGGCTATATTGTCTTGATAGTTTCATCCAAAAATAATAAATAAATAAATAAATAAATGTTTAAAAAGCAGTTCTAACTACTGGGTGGGCATATGAATGAAGCCCTAACACACAGTGGTAGGTAGGCACCCTAAAGAAAACAAAAGAATTATTACCATTTCTCTTCTTTTGCCCATTAAATTCTGTTTCCCTCCCATCTTACCCTAGTGTTGCCTTTGACCTTGGAGCCTCCTGGAAAAGGGGGGGCCCTTGGGTCCAACACCCAGGGCCTCACTCACAGCCAAAGTCAGAGAATCTCAAACATTCCCTCCTGGGCTCCAAGCTTAGCAAAAGGCCACCCATGCTCCCATGGGAATAGCAAAGGCAGATGTGGGGACAGGTCCCCTTCAAGGTCTCTGTCAAATAGATGGTACCAAAATCTGTTGGAGAAGGTGGCAATTTTCCAACAATCACAGTGACCCTCACATGTTCTAGCATCCTCTTGTGCTGTTTTCTCAATATTTGGCCCTTAGAATTCTCCTTTGAGGTTAGAATCCTTAGCCCTACTTTACAGATAAGGAAACAAGCCCAAGGAGATGAAGTGATTTATCCCAGGTCACACTGCAGATCAATGGCACAGACAGGACTTGAGTCCAAGACTCCAAAGCACAAACCCTCTGACCTCCAAGGAACCCAGAGACAGGGAAGCCCACAACCACTTCTGTCCACAGTGGTGGTTCCAACACTGCTGCTGTCCATGGACCATATGACCCCAGGCTCGCCACAGAGCCTCCCTGGCTTTGTGCAGAGATCCCTGCCAGCTCCGACTTGTTGTCCTTTATGCCTGTCCTTGAGCCATAAAGATGAGGGTGTTCAGCAGCATCTGCAGGTTTTATAGAGAAGCAGCTGTGACTTCGCCTCCCTCGGGAGCTTTTCCCAGCTTCCCAAGGCTGTTATTACCTCAGTGCTCTCGCGGCACCCACAGCACTGCAGCACGATTTGTGTGCAAATCCCAGAGAGCCAGGCAGCGAGCACACGTGGACATGAAGAAGGATGGGTATGGGCAATAGGGCACAGTGGGGACTGCAGCAAAGTACAGAGCCACCGTCAAGGGGATGGCTCTGTTCAGCTGCAGGTTCTTATCATGCAGGAAAGAAAGAAGGCCAGCCCAGCATGGCTATATCTTATAAGAAGTGAAAAATCTGGATTTTTAGTGAAATATAACATTTAAATGTAGGTTCAAAATACATTTAATTAAGTACCCCAGAGCTATTGCAGCCCCTGGATTAATCACATCTAATTTCCTCACTAGAGTCTAACTGGGTCTCTGAACACTGAGTGACCAACCCTAGGCCATCCTCACAGGTAACCAGTAATTTGATTTTTGAAATGTCTCAAGATCTGAGCCTGGTCAAAGCCACTCTCCCAGGTTTCCAGAGACTGTATTTATCCACTGACATGTATTAAGGATCCCACTGCTTGCCACGTGCTGTCTTAGACCCAGTAGCTGCATTCACAGACCTGATTCTCATTCTCTCCCTCGATGGTGCATAGGATTTCATCCATTTTACAGATGAGGAAACTGAGGCTCAGAGAGTCAGGTAACTTGGCCAAGGTCACACAGCTAGTAGTAAACCTGGAATTCAAACTCAGGCAGTCTGACTTCAGACAGTGGGAACAAGGGCATGCAGCACGAACAGAGAGATAGGCTGTGCTGCAGGAGGCAGGCCACAGGTTCAGAGAGCAGCGCCTCCCAGCCCATGACTGCATAGAGAGATCAAGCCAAAATTCCCATTTCTCTTTGTCCCTAGGACACCAAACCCCAGCTTCCAGCAGAAGAAAACGTGGGGCACATAGAAGGAGCCAAGGGGAGGCCTGGCTATTGCTCATCCTGTTGAAACAGTCAAACACTCTGTAAACTAGCTAAATGGTTCCAAAGGAAATGGGAATCTATTTTGTCTCCTGTCACCAGGGCTGCAAATCCTGATATATCTCAGGCACAGCAGAGAGGCGGATGGCTCAGCACTTGGAGAGATGCCTGTGTGCGGCAGGAAGTGGGGTGGATGGCTCAACAGGTCCCCCTCTATTCTGAGAGCCAGTCCTGTGATGGCTGAGTGTACAGCCAGCTGAAATAAAAAATAACTTTGAACGCCAACCATTGGAACATACAGCAAACCCCTCTTCCTTCCTGGGGACCAGCGGGGGGTGGGGGACCAACTTGGAGCATTCTCTGGGGCTTTAATCCTTCCAGGGTTTTGATTTCTAAAATTTTGCTGAGGCAACAAGACTCCTGGGAGGCTGGGATGGGCTGATGACTTGGAGGCTTCCCTTTGCACAGGTGCATCCTCCAGCGGATGATTGTGCTACAGCTCCACAGAGAGTCTGCCTGGGGCAGCATATCTCTACCCTCCCCTCCTCACCTGTAAACCAGGGACATGACCTCTACCTCGCTGAGACAGGAAAATTTGATTCAGGTCCACAATTCCTCACCTGAAATCCTCATGACTTAATGTGATTTACAACTTTAATTTGTTTGGATTTTGGCCAGGCCTGGTGATGTGTGGCTGTAATCCCAGCAACTAGGGAGGCTGAGGCAGGAAGATCACAAGTTCAAAGCCAGCCTTGGCAACTTAGAGAGACTCTAACTCAAAATAAGAAAATAAAACTAGGGGTGTTCCTCAGGATACAGCACCCCTGGGTTCAATCCCAACTACGAAAAATAAAATCTGGATTTGAGTGACAGGGAGCCTACCCCACATTAGGCAAGATGCCCAACAAACTCTGGAGCTGTGTTCCCTAAACCCTTGAAATTTTCTGTAGCAAATGTATAAATAATCACACAAAAGAGGATACAATAAAGGCTCGACTCACCTCACATCCAGTCCATGTCAGGTTAGCCACCAAGTGATTTTACTTTTCAGAGCACTGGGGACATGGGCAGTGAACGAGGGGCACAAGCTTCCTGCGCGGGCACGCTGGCTTTCACTCCTATGGCACCTCCATCAGCGGCTCTCAGCAAGATCCCTCTTCTTGGGCCTGTCTTCTCATCTATGTAGTGGGTGATCAGCCTGAGGACCAGCTCCTCAGCAGCACATGAGGAAACGTAGGTAGCCACCCTGGAAGCAGAGCCAAGCCATGCCATCAGTCCCCTGGAGAACTTGCAGAACCCCTGCAGTTCCTCAGGAAGCTCCAGGAGGTGACACTGGGGTGTGCCTTTAAAAGAGATCCTGGGACACCCCCCCACACACACACTGCTCCTCTCTGCTCCTTTCTTTTCCCTTCCTGGCCTGCTGAGGGGAGCAGCCTACTCCACCGCGCACTCCTGCCACAATGTGCTGTGCAGCCACAGGCCCAAAGCAACAAGACCAAGAAACCACACAGAGAACCAGCGAACTGTGAGTCACAATAAAGCTCCCACCATCTCCTGATAGTGCCGCAGGCTGGGGATCAAGCCTTCACCCCCAGGCCTCTGAGGAAACCCTGCTGGACTATGGCACACATAGAAAAATCAGATAAGTGTACACGTAATCATTTAATGACCGTTGCTACAAGTGTCAGGAAGATGAAGCTCTGCGAGGCCAGTGCAGGGCTAGGAGGACAGGTGTCCCCTAGGGAGTGACATTTGACTAAGAGCTGAAAATTAAGCCAAGAACAAAGGTGCATTCCCAGCAGAGACAACAACTCCTGGGAATCGTGGGGAAGAAGAAAGGCAAAATCCAGGCATAGAAAAGATTGTGGGCAGGCTAGTGCCAAGCAGATGCCCAAGCCAAGAGCTCCAAAGTAGCTCATCTGTCTGCGCAGAAAACAGCCCTAGAAAGATGGAAGTGCCCAGCAGAGGCAGAGGGCAGAGGGCAGAGAACCTGCTGCAATGAAAGGGAGGCAGAAGTTAAGAAGTCCCAGAGAGAAAGATAGGAACCCAGAAGGGACAGTGAGGACCTGGGGACTATTCACCACCCCAGGGCCCCCAAAGAAGGGGGTAAGAACAATTCCAACAGTAGTGATTTTGCTAGAATCTAAGAAAGTAGAAGTCATGGGAAAATGAGGTCCAAGTGGGACTTAGGTGACCAAGTGAGATTGGGGACCAGACAAAGGAACTGGAAATGTTCACCAAAATGAAACCCACAGGGCACAATAGCCTCAGCAAGGCAGTGAATTCCCCAGCACCAAGCTCATCCAAGCAGAGGTGACAGCAACCAAGTAGCCCAGTGACCAAGGGGCACCTTCCTGGAGTGAGGGGTGGACCAAATAGATGATCAGGAGGATCCCCCAGTCCCAGTGGAAGCCACATATGAGAGCAGAAAGGGCCTGACCCTCTGCCGCAGTTCCTCCCCAGATCCCAGGCCCGCTCCTTCCCATCCTCCTGGTCTCAAGTGACACCTCTTCACTGAGGCCCCTGTGTACCCTCACTCTTAAAGTGCTGCCCTGAAATGTTCTGGAACACACGCCCTGTTTTCCCTCACCACTTCTCTGGCCTCTTTGTACCTCCTCTACACCGCCAGCAGAGCACGGTGCCACCCAGCTCAACACCCTGCTTCCTGCACACCTTGTCCCCCACACTGGCCCCTACATGGGATTCCACACGTGTGCGTTAAATATGTAAATGAAATCCCAGCTCTGTCTCTCACTAGCTGTGTGACTTGGGTTCGTTAACTTACTTTTCTGAGCACTTTGGCCATCTGTAAAATCAGTATCAAAATGCTGTAGTCACGAGGCTCAAGTGAAATGCAGAATTTTGCCACACAAATTGCTGTGCTAACATCAGCCATTCTGAGCAATACTGAGAAGTCAGTAGTTCAAATGCCCAAAGAGAATTTGTGATTCTCCAGACTAGGAAGCCACTGTGAAAGCTCCCTTAGAGAGGAGGGCTTCTTCCTCACCAAGAAGGCTAAGGTTCTGATGGCATATGTCTAAAGCAGAACCCCAAGGCCCTGGATTCATTAAGCATTTCTTGGGCAAAGTCCGTCTGCCAGACATTGCAAAACTCACTCCGGAAGAACCCTGGCCCACGGCACTGCTTCTCCACTACAGAGCATCCCAGGGTCTGGGGCGGGAGGTGGGGACACGATGTAAAAAAAACAAAGCAGGAAGAAGGCACAGCAATGGAGGGCTCTGCCCAACATTGTAGACACGTAGAGGAAGAGGCCTGGACTCAGGTGTCAGAAATGAGCCCCACACACCTTTTCTGAGGACCAACTCAAGGGTAAGATCCATTCTAGGTCCTGGGGATACAAGAGTGGAAAAGACACCTAAGATGGCATGTGAGGACATGATCAGTTGACAAGCAAACCAACAAGACAATTTTTAATAGAAATAAACGCTAGGAAGCCAATAAGACACTAATAGGATACACAAAAGTCCCAGGAGCCAGGCTGTCTCCTGAATTGGAAACCCTCGCTGTTGGACCTGGAGCGTTCCTCTGTGCCTCCATGTCCTCATCTGTAGAAAGGGGTGCAGCAGGCCCACCTCATGGGGCTGTGGTGAGAACAGGATGAGGCGAAGGCGGGGACATGGCTCAGTGGTAAAGTGCTTGCCTAGCAGGCACTAGCCCACGGGCTCAATCCCCAGCACCACCAAAAATAGAGAGAAAATTAGATGAGGGAATTTAAGTTCTTGGAATAGTACCAGGCACGTGGCAAGCTCTGCATAAGTAGGTGAGAGAGAGAATGAGGGCGGGTGAGGCTACTCAGAGGGGTGGTCAGGAAATGCCTGTTTGATGGGGGCATGGCTCAACAAAACTCAGGGACCGGCAATCCAAACAGCAGAAAAACCTCGATTGAGGGTCTCCAAGAAGGAATCTGGAGTTTGGGTGTCACCCAGAATGGGGAGGCTGCCAGCAGGAAGCTTCCCCTTAGGGCCCTGGAGGTCGTGGTGAATGAGATTCTACCCTCGGACAAAGGGAAGCTACTGGAGGATCTTACAGTGAGACGCAGAAAGGCCATTTGGCTGCCCTGCAAAGAACAGACAGAGGAGCAGGCAGAAAGACAGGCTCGGGGGCCAACCAGGGGAAGGCAAGGTCTCCCAACCAAGCCCAGGGACCCATAAGTGAGAATGAGACAGGACACTCCAAATCCTTCTCCATCTGGGGTGGGCAGGGACATCTGGGCCAAAATATGGAAAAGATGATTAAACTCTGACATGAGACAGAGGCTGCAGCAGATGGCCTGTGGGCCCACAGCAGGGAAAAAAAAAAAAAAAAAAGACATAGTCTAAGCAAATACCCATTATATTTTAAAACACATCACAATTTATTATTATTGATCCTAACTATACATTCATGGAGTGCTTATTTATGCACCCAGGAAAATGTGCTAAATTCATTTTCTCATTTACTTCTCACAAAACACATTTCTATTCATTCCACGAATATGTTATATTAGGCACTGTTCTAGGTAAGAGAGAGGCAAGACTCCTACCTATGAGCTTCCACTCTAAAGGGGGACCTAGAGCCTAAAAAAAGAAACAATATTTCCGAGAGGGATGAGAATTATGAAGAAAACAAAGCACAGTGAAAGGGCAAGGAGGAATTCAGAGGAGCAGCTGTTAGGAATGGTGGCCGGGAGGGTGGCCTCCGTGAGCAGCCAACTTTTTTTTTTTTTTTTTTTGGTCATGCTGAGAATCAAACTCAGGGCCTTGCACATGGTAGGCAAGCACTTCACCACTGAGCTACATGCCCAGTGCAGGAGTCAACTCTTGAACAGAGACACAGGTAATAAGACCAAGCCTGAGGAAAGAGTACCAGGCAGGAGGACAAGTGCAGAATCCTGCTGAGAGGGAAATAAGGACCACATATTTGAGGTGCAAAAAGAAAAGCAGGGAAGAATACAGGATGGCAGGATGTGAAATCGAAAGATAAACAGGAACCAGACAGGCCACAGGAAGATAATCCTATTTCACTCTAAGTACATAATGGGAAGCTGCTAGGAGATTGTGAAAAGAATGTTTTGACCACCATGTGAAAAGGAACCCAAAAGGAGCAAGAGGATCCAAGCATGAAGACAGATGGTGGTAAAAAATGACAGCATTCACCAGGCATGTGATGGCCAGTTATCCCAGCTACTCTGTAGACACGCAGGAGGATCTCAAGTTCAAGGCCAGGCTGGGCAACTTAGCTCCATTCTCAAAAAAAGTATGGGTGGGAGTTGGGGATGTATGTAGGTCAGTAGTAAAGCAGCCTGGGGTTTCATCGCCAGTACCACAAACAGAAAGTGGTAAAGCATTCAAGATGTTATTTTGATAGTAGAATAGGCGACTTACTGAAGAATTGAATATGGGAAGAAAATGATAAGCCATTACCAACCAGGATTCCTGACAAGGTACCTGAAGCACCTGGTGCATGAGTACGATGCACCAGGCACCACTAACAAAAGTGAGCAAAACTGGAAGATGGGCAGATGGGGAGACATTTTATTGGGGGGCAGGGGTGTGCGGCTATCAACATTCGCATTTTACTGATAAACAAACACGTTTAGAGAGGTCAAAGAATCTATCCAAGTTCACCCAGGTGGTATACAGGAATTACCGGAGTACTTTCACATATTTTGATTTTGACCTTCACAGCAACCCCTTATCATCACCTCCAACTTAAGGAGAAGGAAACTGAGGCCCAGGGCCGTGAAGGCCACACAGTGGCAAGGTCTGGACATCAGACCTCGTAACTGATACAGGGTCCGATAAAGGAGACGGGCTGAGAAACATAAGGGAACCCGGGGCCAGGCAGAAAGGACCCGGGGCTTCATGAAAACCTAGCCCGCAGACTCCCCAAACTCAGGTCGCAGAGAGGGCAGCACTGCTGTCCCCTGAAGCAAGGTCCTCGGAATCTCCATGGCTGATTAAGAAGCAGATCCCCGGGTCTGCAATCTGAATTATTTTTTTTTTTAATCAGCGACCCTGAAGTTTTTCAGAAAAGTTGGAGAGCTGCGGAACAATGGCTTGTCCCCTGGAGGCCGCCCTGAAACTAGCCGCATGAACTTCGCAGGTCACTACCTGCTGGGCCTCGACTCCCGCCACTGCGAACTAGCAGGAGCGGAGGAGCTCGGCCTCCCCCGGACACCAGAGCCACACCGCGGACTACGGGTTAAGGCGCGCAGGCGCCGCGGGGCACTGTGGGAGGCAGCGGGGCCGAGGCCGCGGAGCATTGTGGGACACAGCGGGGCTGTCAGCCTCGCCCCACCTCCAGCTTCTCCGGCACCAAGTTCAGTCTCATTTCCACTCGGGAACGCCCTCTCCGGACGTCCCCGGATGCAGCCTGACGTAATCACGTCTCTCGCGTCTTGGCGCCTCAGAGGCTAAAGAGGACGCAGGGCAAAGACCAGCGATGAATTTCCGGGTGCGCCTTCGCTTTACGGCTCGCGCGCTCTTCCGCCGAATCCGGAAGAAGCAGGCAGGCGTTTACGACAGTGCCGGTCGTGTTTACGGCGCCGGCCTCTAAGTGCGCATGTTCTCTATTTTCCCGGTTCCTTGGAGTGCAGTGCTGGCGAAGTCTTTGGCCCGGGCCATCTGTCGCCATCCGGGCGGGCCGAGGCCGTTGCAGGTGAGCGGCGTGTTTTGTATGGTCCTACGGACCTTCAGATTCAGCTCGGGTAAAGCCAGGCCTTCGGGACCTCCCGGAAGAGGCCCCTTACGTCCCCTCCTGCCGTCGCTCTCCCTCCGTTGGGCGGGGCAGGAATCTTCCTTCAGTGGTCCCAGGCCCGCCACACTGTGGGATGCGGGACATGTACGTGTGGCAGGTCCCTTACCCTAGACTCCGCTCGGCGGCCGAGGGCTGAGTGAACTCCGTCGTCTGACTTAAGCCACTGGGGCCACAAGACCATTCTAAAGGGTCCAAGTCTCCCTGAGTTTCTTAGTGGGGTGTTTGGGTGCCCAGCCGAGCGGTTCGACCCTTGCCTTGAGCATACCTCACGGAGGTTTCCTTCCGTTGCTTTGTGATTTAGACGGCAAAGGTAGAAGACCAGATTCCACTGATCTGACACCTACCCCAACCCGAGCCCGGGGATCTGTATGGCCACCAGACCCGCCGACTGCCCTGTTGGTGCCTCACTACCTTGCCCTTGTGGCCAGTGCAGCTGTCACATCGTTTTAGTTGAATGGCCTAATTTCATTTCTGCTCGCATTATTTTACAGTGCTGTTGACAACTGGATTTTAATGTCTTAAGACATCGTTGTGGTGTTAGGTATCACCTAAAATTTTTTTCAGATTCCTTCCTGCCTATGATATAATGAAAGAAAGCTGGAGTTATGCAGATAACCCCGGAAGTCAAAAACTATTTTTAAATGATGGGCAGATTAACTGCTTGATTTGTCTGAGCTTCAAATTTTTATTTCTAAAATGGAGCGCCAGAAATTAGTGACATTAAAGGATGTAGCATGCAATGCCTGGAACAGGGTTGAAGCTCATAAAGATTTATTTAATGTGAATTGCTCAAGACCATTAGTTTAAGTTCAGATTTGGAGGCTGAAGTTCCCAGATAAAATCACTGTTTCTGTCACCCAAATGTCATCTCTCAGCCTCAGAGAAGCAGTGGGCATCAGAGTTACTAAGTACACTATGCTGGTGCTCTTTGATTGCTTTCCAGCCTCCAGGAAATGTTGGGGAAATGGACTGGGAATTCCCCTGAGTATTTTCAGAGTGTCACCTTGGATGCTGAATTCATAGGTTTTTGATAGGCAGTGACAGTTAAGTATCTGCTAGAGAGCCTCTGGTTTTTTACTCTCCATGAGTTCCATCATTAAGCAGAGTGTGGCCTCTGGGACCTTGTCCATCAACTGGCATTGTAAATTTGGGCAGTGTCTTAATTTCGCTTTGCCTTAGTTTCCTTTTGCAGAAAGTGGGGATAATACTGGCCACAAGATTATTGGGAGGATTGAATGAATTGGTGTGTGGTGAACACTGAGAACATGATGTTTGTGAAAATTTTGGCATGCCACCACTTGGTCAAAAAGTTATGGTGACCTCCTTGGCCTTCTGGCAGCCTGTGCCTTGCTCTCTGTCCACCTGCTAAACACATAGAATTTCTTTTGGTATCAGAAAATTGGAAGAACAAGAAAGGAAAATCAAACTTCGGGGTATACTTCAGGATTTTTTTTTTCTTTTTAGCAGTATGCCTAAATGTATTTTTACAAGTCTCAATAGTCATTGTATGGCATTTTACAAAGAAGGTGTTTTTTCACGTGTTAACTAGAAGAACTTTCACAATGATGCTGTGATATACACAGTTAAATATTATATGCCTTGATGAAAATATTTCTGAAAACCAGAAAGTGGTTATTACGCATTAGAAAATGTTACTGTTTCATCAAATCTTCAAGACACCACTCAAGAAACACCCTTAACTTATGAGACACTAAGAAATAAAAGCTACTGGTTGAGGTTTGACACCCCATCAGGTGTAATGGGAGCCTCGTTTCAGATCCTTTGCAGTGAAAAACAAAGTGTCCTAGAATGAATGAAATATGGCAAATCAATTTTGTTGGCAGGTTTCTGAGTTTTAAGTATTCAAAGAAAGATGAGAAAAAGTAGCTAGACAGCTGAGGGTTGTTTGTGTACTCTCTTTGAATTTTAGCATTTTGTCTTTATCCCATATGAGGGTGTTATATACTTTGAGACTTTCCTTCATGCAGTGACTCATGTTATTTGTTTCTAAGGTTTAAAAACATGGCGAAGTTCATGACACCGGTGATCCAGGACAACCCCTCAGGCTGGGGTCCCTGTGCTGTTCCTGAGCAGTTTCGGGATATGCCCTACCAGCCATTCAGCAAAGGAGATCGGCTGGGAAAGGTACTTGCCTGCCAGCGGGAGTCTGGATCTTTTAAGCTGTGACTGCTCCTCTCCAGGAGTTTCAGTTATTCTCTCAAAAGCACAGTCCTGTGCTCCCTACAGAGCTAGCAGCTGAGAGAGGGTATAACCTCTGGAGGGAGTGCTGGGGATTCCAAAGGCATCATGAGCCAGTTCTGATACTTTACCACATGGCGTCCCCTTGCTTTCAGGGCTTTCTGGGTCACCAGTGACTTGCCTGGTTGACCTGAGCATTCTCTTTCTTCATTGCTCTTAATAGGTTGCAGACTGGACAGGGGCCACATACCAAGATAAGAGGTACACAAGTAAGTCTTTTCAACTGGCTGCCCAAACCAGGGCCTTGGGAGAATTGTTCCTTTTTTCTAATAAGCTCTGTCTGAAAGCTTTCTTCTAGGAAAGGAAAGATGCTAACAATGATTGATAGTTTCTAAGGGGATAGTCTTGACTGTGGACCCAAACGACATTTAAAAAAAAAAAAATAGCTCCAAAACTTTATTCATTAAAGCAGTATGGACCATTATCATGGGCGTTTTCCTCCACTTTGAGTCTTAGACCCTTCAAAAAACCTATCAAACACATTGCCAGTTTTCGTTCTTTGCTTGGAATTTACTAAGCCTCTGAAGCCAGTCAGTGGACTCCAGGTTTAAATCCCATGGTTTAAGATCCTAGTAAGGAAAAAGGTTTTTGTGTCAATTGAAACACAATGGCTGCCTAGAGTGCCAAGTTAAGATACCTGAGGCTGAGGCCACAAGAGAGTCACTCGTCCACTAGACATGTCTGCCTTGGGCTGCAGACAGTGATGTGGTGGTGTGCGTGCCCCACATTCTCACAAACACAAGCTCTCAACTCGGATTCTTGCACGATGAGGTGGAGAATGAAATGGGACAACTCGAATTCCCCAAACTCTTGAAAAGTTCTTTAGCCTGGGGCTTTTCATGTTTCCACATACATAGGAATCAACTGGGGATCTTATTAAAGCTGTGGTTCTGGTTTAGTAGATCTGGGGTCGGGTGGGAGGCTGCACACCAGTCAGCGCCAGGTCCCCAGTCCACACTTGAAAGAGCAAGGCTGGAATAGCACGTATGTGTATGTATACACCCTGTAGGTGATGGTTATTACGTTGTCACCTTTGCCTCCAGATAAGTACTCCTCTCAGTTTGGTGGTGGGAGTCAGTATGCTTATTTCCATGAGGAGGATGAGACCAGCTTCCAGCTGGTGGATACAGCACGCACCCAGAAGACAGCCTACCAGCGGAACCGCATGAGGTTTGCACAGGTAGAGCCTGAGCTGAGAGCCTCTCCGTCTGAGGCTTGTGCTTTGGTCATTGCCTGCTGCTGAATGTTACCTTGTGAATATTCATGAGAGAGGAAAGTATATCATGGTCTTCTAGTGAATCCCAAATGGCTATTCAGTGACAGATTGTATTGGAGTAAACTTATACTAAGTCCAGGGACGTATTTAATAAGAGACCTGTTCACCAACAGCCCCAGCATCATAGTCCCCCACTAAGAATGAGTGTTGGTCATAGATAAAAAGGTGCCGTGTATTCGTCACCTCACTTAATTGCTATATGAGGACTTTATGAAGTTGATGGTCCAGTTGGGCTGCATCTTATTACATAAAGAGACCAACTCAGCAGCCCGACTACAACCAGTAAACTTACTTCAATAGAAAAATCTGTCGTGGGAATTTAAGTCTAAACTAATTTCAGTACTTCTTCCACTAAAACTCCCAAACTGTTCATGCTGTAAAGTGAAATGTGAAGCTTGGGCCTCCCCCCACCCTTACTCTAAAGACCTCCCATTAGTCCCACCAAATCCCCAGGGTCTTGACAGGGTTGCTTTTTCCTAATTCCCAGCGGAACCTCCGCAGAGACAAAGATCGGCGCAACATGTTGCAGTTCAACCTGCAGACACTGCCCAAGAGTGCCAAGCAGAAAGAGAGGTGATGCTCCCACCCTGCCCACACAAGGTGTCCTTCCCAGACAGGCTGCTCCCAGAAGACACCAGGCCAGACAGGAGGGCTCACTTTCCCACCATGGGGGCCAGGGGACTTTCCTAAAGCCAGTCATAGCAGGTAGCACAGGGAGGAGACTGCCTGCAGTGGACATGGCCACTGGGGAGGGAAACAGGCAGACAGGAGGTTACTGGGATTGCCCAGTCTCAGTCCCACCAGGTACAACTCTAAGAAGCCCCGTGTATGCTGCATCCTACAGACCCCTGTTGTACTCACAGAGCTGTGAGGTTGAGCTAGTACACCTGGTCGGTATTTGGGGACAACATGCTTCTGCTAGCATCTCCATGTTGTGCCCATTTAGTCTCTTTCTGGGAGGCCGTTTTCCATCTCAGAGAAGTCGGTGATGATAGTGAAGTTCATTCAGCTGAAGAAAGGGCTGCTGACTTAAAAACCGGCACTGAGATCACAATGTTCTATCTTTTCAGAGAACGCATCCGACTACAGAAAAAATTCCAGAAACAATTTGGAGTGAGACAGAAGTGGGACCAAAAGTCACAGGTAGTGTATCCACAGCAGAATTCTGGCTGAGAGTACAGTTTTGTTTCTTTTTATTGCAGCTTTGAGATATAATCACATGCCATAAAAGTGCGTGGGTTTAGTGTATTTGCAGAGTTGTGCAACCGTTACTGCAATCAATTTCAGACCATTTTCTTCACCCTAAAAAGAAGCCCTGTGCTCTTTAGCAGTAACCCCATTCCTCCCAGCCCTAGACAACCACTAATCTGTTTTTTATGTGCATATATTTTTTATTCTAATTAGTTACACATGACAATAGGATGCATTTTGACACATCATATATAAATGGAGTTTAACTTCCCATTCTTGTTCTATGTGATGTAGAATTATACAAATCATATAATCATATATGCACATAGGGTAATAATGTCCGATTCATTCTACTATCACTTCTAGCTCCATACCCCCTCCTTTCCCTTCCCTCTGTCTAGTCCCAATTACCTCTATTCTCCCTCACCCCCAACCCTTAATTGTGAGTTAGCATCCTCATATCAGAGAAAACATTCGGGCTTTGGTTCTTTGAGATGGCTTATTTTGCTTAGCATAATATTCTCCAGCTCCATCCATTTACCAGCAAATGCCATAATTTCATTCTTC